CCCTTGCCGATATGTAGATGTGTGCCGCATTCTCCGCTTGGAGACGTAGGGGCTGCGTTGAAAAGTTGGAGAGATTGTTGCTTACTGAATGAAACTAATATTTCCCAACATGATCAATCAAAGGTTTCTCATTTCCCCTTCATTTAAAAAATCATTTGGTGATGTCATTGGTGTGCTATTTCACCACATGGCAACGTCAGCTCTTAGTATCCGTAAGTGCAGTTTAGATGATGACGAAGACTGATTTCGTATACACTTAGTGGCATTCTAGTTAGTAGTAATGTGTTTTTCAGCGCTGTCGAAGTTTCTCAGTAGAATTACATAATTAGTGGAAATAAAATGAATAATCTGATGATATCCATTTATTGGAAAACGAGAAACTTGCCAAATCAAAAAAAGCAATTAGTGCAAGCAATAATCCGCTGCGATTTCGCAACTGCTTGCTTCTGTACGTAGCGCAGAGCAAGTGTATGTTTCCGAACATGCCAAGTAAGAGTACAGGGATCATAAGAATTGCTGATATTTCGATGGCTCTCATTCCTTCCAAGAAACAGAAATAATAGTTTTAGAATGTACCACCAGTTTTATGCCTGAAGAAGTTAAGTCTCTTTTACAAATTACCATTTGCTATTTCCAGTAACTCAAAAAATGCATACAAAAATGTTGAAGAGGAACAGGAGAAGAAAAGTGTGCAACAAAAAAAACTTGAGATTTATTTGACTTTGAATCTCGAGGTCTAACTTTACAATGGAGCATTGAAGAGAAGCCAGGCTTAAAAGTTTTTTCGTGACCAGCAAGAAATCAACAACAGAATACTTGGTCGATATAAAAGGGGAATTCGAGAAAACAAAAGTAAAGGATTTTTCCTCGTTCTGAGTAGGTTAGCGAGGTTTCTCCCCAGTAAATGGTCCTTTTTGCAGGGCTTCCTCCCGCTACCACTTCAACTAAGATAAGAGAGGAGTTATCAAACGCCTAGGATTTATTAAAAATAGAGCGAGATAGAAACAGAAAAAGCC